CCCTGCTCCATGTTGCCTCATGCCTCCTGCTCCTCCCCCTTCCCTCATCCGTCCTCCCTTCGTCCCCCCCCCCACCCCGCTTCTCCCTCTCTCTCTCCCCCCCCCCCCTCCGAGGGAAACGGGCCCTGAACCCCACGGCCTTCCCCCAGCACCAGCTGCTCATCCTGAGTTGTTTGCTGTCGCTCCCGGAGCCCGTGGAGGCCCCCGGAGCCCGAAAGCAGCCAAAAGCCTTAGGATCCGTTTGCTTCGTGGCGACGCCCCCCCCCTGCCACCTTCACTGGGCAGCCACGTGCGAGCACCATCCCTGCACATCAGCAGGGGTCAAACACATCTTAAGGATGCCTACAGCCAAGGGAAGGACCCCCAGGGGGCGGGATTCGCCAGCGCTTCCCAGATGGAGGATAGAGCATAAACTTTCGGCGATCCGTACACACTTCTTGGATCGGCGCTGGACCCGCCTCCTGGGCGCGCGGAGCGCGCCAGGGGCGGCGCCAGAGGCGCCGCCAGGAGGGGGCCCAGCGCCGATCCAAGAAGCTTGCGCGGAGCGCCGGAAGTTTGTGTTTGTATGCCTGTTCTTCGCCGGCCAGACGTCATTGATTTTGGTCAACGTCAATTCGTGGAACATCCTCGCGAATTTCGCGACGGCCGACATGGGACATGGACCATGACCAAATTTGTTTTCCTCCTCCTGTGATGTGGGCCCAAGGGAGCCAGCGAGCGAAAAACGGCACCATGCGCAGGCCTATACAGACGTAGGCACCGGTGTCTTGAGCGCTTTACAGGAAATCAGCCAGCTCGCGATTATCGTCGCGCTCTCGCAGCACTTCGGATGCTGGCCCTTCAAGAGCCGCCTCCGCCTGTCCATGACCAAAGTCGGCGTCGGCCACATCCCGGGGGGGACATCTTGGTCATGGTCTCCACACTTCTTCCCTCGTCGACACGGCCGCATTCGCGTCGAGATCCTGGCCAGAACGGGCTACAGAAAAAGTCGGGGGGCAGCGGTGTCGGTACATCTGCCCCACCCCCAGGGAAGGGGGAGGGGGAGGAGGGGGAGGCGGAGGGGAGGGGAGGGATGGGAGGAGGAGAGGGGAGGAGGAGGAAAGGGGAGAGGGGAGGAGGGGTGGGGATGGGAGGGGAGGGGAGAGGGGGAGGAGGAAGGATGGGAGGGGAGAAGCGGAGAGGAGGAGGAGGAGGGGCAGGCGGAGGGGGAGGAGGAGGGGGCGGAGGGGGAGGAGCGAGGAGATCCGTGGTCGATCCTCGAGCTCTCGTGCGGCTCATTTGGTCCGGCCTGGCGCAGCGCACAGTGGCAGGAAGGCAAAACAAGAAAGCCCGCGGGCGAGAGCCCCGGGACCCGGGCGGCAGACCACACCCCGCGGGAGGAGGACACGGGAGGCTCGAGAGGCCCAGTGGGGCGCGCGCCAACCCCGCCGGAGAGGAGAGGCCAGGGGAGCGGTCGTTCCTATAGGGGAACGAAGAGTGGCATGAACAGAAGAACTCGGAGGTCCGCGCGGATTTCTCGGGTCGGCGCTGGGGCCCTCCCCTGGCGCGCGGAGCGCGCCAGGGGCGGCGCCAGCGGCGCCTCCGGCGCCGCCCCTGGCGCGCTCCGCGCGCCAGGGAGGGGGGAGTCCAGCGCCGATCCGAGAAATCCGCGCAGACCTCTGAGCTTTTATGTTTATGTGACTTTTTGGTCCCCCAGGAACGACCGCTTGACACCAGAAGCAAAGAGGCAAGGCGCAGCATCGAGATACCACAGGCTGCCCGCGTGGCGGATCCCCGTGCCAAGGGCGCCCCAGGAGTCCAACGCTGCAATGCAAGGCTGGACGGTCAGCGCTGAGCCACGGGATGTGGGCGCGAACCCCAAGTACGAACTGCGCCACAGCGAAGACCGGCTGATCGCAGGCAGCACTGTCACAAGTCCAGCGTCGATTCGAAGGGAGCCAAGGGGGAAGCAGAGGCCCCCGAGTGAAAGGCAGGTTTTGGCAGCAGGGGTGTCCAAGACACTCGGGTGAACAAGTACATGCGAAAGAGCAAGTGGCGTGAACAGGCAAGTGCGCCGAAGGCTCGCGATGGCACTGCCAGGTTGAACGGCTCCTCACAAGGCGGCCTGAAGGCTGCAACTGACAGAGTGCGATAGTGACAAGGTGATTGACGCGGGTAGGACGCCAGAGGACAGCCGCCACTCAGAAGCATGGACAAACCTACGGCACGCAAGAACGTAGCTGTACCAACAACGCCATGACAGAGAGCCAACGAGGTGAGGATGCACATGCAGAATGCACCAGTGCAATCAACGGCCTTTGCTGCCAGGTTCTGGAACGATGTCGGGGGATTCCTCCCTTCTGCGAGCGAGCCAAGACATGAAAGCATCCTTATCTTCGGGAGGCGAGCCCTCGATGCAACAGGCACGGTAACAAAACCCCTTGCCAGCCTCGCACATCTTGGCACTGCGCCAGCGTCCATCGTGTGTGCTGTGTCCGCAAAGATGGCACGCTTGTGGCCCTTTGGGAACGCATCTGAAACAATGGAAGCGGAAGCACCCACTGCTCGCTCACGCCACGCGCCCAAACCTCTTCTTGCTCGATGTGCAAATCGGAGGATGCGGAATGTCAAGACCCTCTCCTCATTCCGCCCAGGTTGCAGGGGAAGGGCCTGAGAAGCATCGCGCGCGGACAATGGAGGCCTCTCATGCTCTGGCTGCGCGCCGTACTGGACGGCGCCCACATACGAAAGTCCCTCCAATCTTGCCTGGAGATATGCATGGGTGTCTCCGTCACGCAGTTCCTGATGAGCCGTCACGTTTGCAACATGATCGTCTGATGGCAATGGGGAGGAGACGCCGCGCCCAGCGCGTTCCATAACAGAACGTCTGGGCTGCGCGTCAACGTAGCAATCGGACAGCACCGTCTGCATGTCAAGCTGCTCCTGCTCTGCCTGCTCTTGCTATGCGTCGACCTGAGTGGTCTTGCTCCGGATTCGCGGTGCCAACTCTGGGGGCGCGAGCGCCGGCGGCGCTCGTAAGCCTCACGGGGCAGGGATCCGGAGCGCGACTGGGAGCGGCTCGTGGAGGCAGGCGCAGAGGGAGGCCGAAGACAAAAGAGCTGGCGAAGATTGTCTCAAGGGGCCCAAGGACACACAAACAAATATATGCACACATATAACATGATTCCCCATACTTTCCCACATCTTCTGGGCCTCTGTCTTCCCCCCCACTTCCCATGTTTTCCTATACTTTCCTGGGAGTCGACGATTAATTCTGTCTGTATGTTTTTTCCCTTCTGATTATCGTCAGATCCAGCCTTCCTGCTCTCTGAGCTGTCAGCCGCGCGGGCGCTCCGAGAGCGCGGCGCCTGGCGACAGCCCATTCCAGGAGAGCGGGTGCTCGCAAACGGAAGCCCACGGGGGCGTCCCACTGAGGCCGGCATGGGGACCTCCCCCTCTTAGTGTTGGGCGCCCGAGTTATCTGGGGTAACTCGGGTCCGGGGTAACTCGGGTTTGGGTTCCCGAAAAACGAACCCGAGTTAGCCCTGACCCGAGTTACCCCTGATGATTCGGGGCTCTGGACGCCCGAGATATCCGGGGTAACTCGGGTCCGGGGTAACTCGGGTTCGGAATCCCGAAAAACGAACCCGAGTTATCCCTGACCCGAGTTACCCCTGATGATTCGGGGCTCTGATAGTGGGCCCTGGAAACGACAGGGCCGTTTTTTTACTGGCTCCGTTTTGCCGTTTTTTGGCCGGCTCCGACGCCGATGTTTCACTGGTTCCGTCGCCGTGTTTTGACCAGTTCCGGCTCCGGTTCCAATCCTGGAGCCGTTTTTTTTGCCGTTTCCGGTCGCCGTTTTTTTCCGCCGTTTCCATGTTCAAGGGACATGTTTTTGGAAACGGTGAAAAAACGGCCCTCCCACAAAGGTCCCCCTCAACGACGCTAGGATTCTCGCGGACATCGAAGGCCTTGCCAGAGTCCGACGTCGACCGCATCCTAAGGTTCAGACAGAGTCCCACTGGTGGTCCCCCCACGCGCCATCGCTCGGACGCCCGTTCTCCGTGCACTTTTTCGATTTCGTGCGTGCCTTTTTCGCTAAGTGATCAAAGATACTCCTCGATGGTACTCGCCAAGAAAAAATGCACACGTCCGAGCGATGCCAAGCCAACAGCGACGGCAGGCAGCGGAGTGGGCGACGCGTCAGCACTGGCGGGTGGCCTCCTCAGCTCCCTCAAGTGGTCCCGACGGCAGCGACGCAACCTTAGGTCGGGCCTGTCCTCCTACAGGGGGATTTTGGACGAAAAATTCAAAAAATAGTAAAAAGAAATTCCCCCCAAATGGTCGAAAATAGTCAAACAATCGTCCCCAGACTATTTTTGGAATATTTTTGAATATTCCTCCTGCTGAGGAGGCGGTGTAGCAGGGTGGAGGGGCCGAGGGGGCAAGACGTGAGCAGCGGGAGATACGTTTCTTGCCGAAGGGGGTCGGGGAGACAGCGGAGCCCCCATCCGCGGCGGCGTCGGCCACAGAGGCGGCGCAGACCGATGCGGTTGAGTTGTGAGCGTGTGAGAGAAATTGGCAACACGGCTGCCGCTACGGCTCGGGCCAGGGGGGAGGAGGGGGAGGGAGGAGGAGGAGGAGGAGGAGGAGGAGGAGGAGGAGGAGGAGGAGGAGGAGGAGGAGGAGGAGGAGGGAGGAGGTGGAGGAGGAGGAGGAGGAGGAGGAGGAGGAGAGGAGGAGGAGGAGGAGGGAGGAGGAGGAGGGGAGGAGGAGGAGGAGGAGGAGGAGGAGGAGGAGGAGGAGGAGGAGGAGGAGGAGGAGGAGGAGAGGAGGAGGAGGAGGAGAGAGGAGAGGAGGAGGAGGGAGGAGAGGAGGAGGAGGAGGAGGGGAGGAGGAGAGGAGGAGGAGGAGGGGAGGAGGAGGAGGAGGAGGAGGTGGAGGAAGATCCCTCGAGGAGACGGGGCGTCTTGACCATGGCCCTCCACCCCACCCACCGCGCTGGCGCCCACCGCTCGGGCCTCCAACGGCGACAGGCCCTGCTCCTCCGCAGGCGCCGGCGCCTCGGCCGGCGGCAGGGCCGGGGCGGGCTCCGCAGCGGCGGCCTCGCTGGGGGTGCCGAGGCACCATCGGGGCGCCCACGGAAGGCGAGGAGGACAAGGAGGAGGAGGAGGAGGAGGAGGAGGAGGAGGAGGAGGAGGAGGAGGAGGAGGAGGAGGAGAGGGAGGAGGACGGAGAGGAGGGGGGAGGAGGCGGAGGAGGAGGAGAGGAGGAGGAGGAGGAGGAAGAGGAGGAGGAGGAGGAGGAGGAGGAGGAGGGAGGAGGAGGAGGAGGAGGAGGAGGGAGGAGGAGGAGGAGGATGGACGGATGAGGAGGGGGGGGAGGCGGAGGAGGAGGAGGCGGAGGAGGAGGAGGTAGAGGAGGAGGAGGAGGAGAGGAGGAGGAGGAGGAGGAGGAGGAGGAGGAGGAGGAGGAGGAGGAGGAGGAGGAGGAGGGAGGAGGAGGAGAAGGGGGGAAGAAGGATGAGGAGGAGGAGGAGGAGGAGGAGGAGGAGGAGGAGAAGGAAGAGGAGGAGGAAGAGGAGGAGGAGGAGGACCAGCGTAAACCCAAGAGTCATCGACGATGTTGGAATAAACCCACCCTCCAAGCTCCCTCTTCATAGGCCCCATACAACGGTTCATTTCCATTGAGGGAACTGCCTCGTTGGAAGACAGCCGTTCGAAGACCCTGAAGCATGCCAAGCCATTGTTCTGGGGATTCGAACGCCACGGATCAACCTGACTACTGCGTGTTGACGATCCTGAATCGTGCTAGAAAGCCAGTCCTGGGACTTCAACACCGCGAATCAACGTATCTGATGCACCATTATAACCCTGAATCCTTCAAAACATACTTTCTGGTGTGCTAATCATGGGAATCCGTGAAAATCTTGTAAACTTTATACATGGATGTTGCCCCCCGCGAAATCCTGAATACGTTCAGAACACAATTTCTGGTACGCTGACGCTGGGAATCCGTGAAACTCTTGCATATGTTGTAAACGAATGTGCGCGGCGCTAAGGCGAGAACCACATTTTGAAAAGGAGCCGCCCTCGATCCGTCAAACTCTTGAATTTTTCCAAAATAAAAAAAAAACTAATATGCGCCGCACTAAAGCGAGAACCACACTTTGAAAACGACCCGCCCTCGATCCGTGAAGCTCTTGCAAATGATGTAAAGGAATGCGCGCGGCGCTGAGGCGAGAACCACATTTTGAAAAGAAACCGCCCTCGATCCGTGAAACGCTTGCAATTGTTTCCAACGAATGCGCGCCGCACTAAGGTGATAACCACATGTTTAAAACGACCCACCCTCAATCCGTGAAACTCTTGCACATGCTGCAAACAAATGTGCGCGGCGCTGAGGCGAGAACCACATTTTGAAAAGGAACCGCCCTCGTTCCGTGAAACGCTTGCAATTGGTTTCAACGAGTGTGCGCCGCGCTAAACCGAGAGCCACATTGTGAAACATTCATAAGTTTCAGGGTCGTACATGGTGAGGAAGTTCCAGGCGAAACGCCAAGCCCGCCCTAAAAACAGGCCTTGGGGCGCGACAAGGAGAAGTTATATAGAAGGAAAAGGAATAGAGGAGAATGAGGAGGAGGAGGAGGAGGAGGAGGAGGATGAGGAGGAGGAGGGGGGGAAGAAGGATGATGAGGAGGAGGGGGAGGAGGGGGAGGGGGAGGAGGGGAGGAGGAGGAGGAGGGAGGAGGAGGAAGGAAGGAAAAGAAGGGGAGGAGAGGAGGAGGAGGAGGAGGAGGAGGAGGAGGAGGAGGAGGAGGTAGAGGAGGAGCCTCCCCGTGGGATGGAACGCCCGCCTCTCGGAGGCCGCGGCTGCGCGCGGCCGTTCTTTGGGGCAACGAGGGGGGGGCCGCTCTGCCGGTGCCGACGCCCCCTGCCGCCGCGCGGGGCTGCCGCCACTGTGGTCCCCGCTCCCCGCCGAGGTGACGAGGCGTCGCGCCCAGGGGGGACTTGAGAAGGAGAAGGCCTTCTCAGAAGGCTCGGAAGTTCCCGGGACTTCTGAGAAGTCTTCCACGCCTTCCCCGAAGGCAAACAAAAGCTTCTCGGAAGGCTGGAGGCCTTCTGAGAAGTCCCGCCGCCTTCTGAGAAGGCCTTCTCCTTCTCAGTTCCCCCCCTCGCTCGCCGCCGAGTGGCGAAGCCATGACAGGGACAAATCATGGGACGCACAGGGACATGCTACAGTAGTGCTGCAGGTCCTCCTTGGAGGCGCGCGCCCGACCCGGACACACATCATACCCATCCTGCAGCGCATCGTTTCCCGAGCGGTGTGGCTAGGAAACGCCCGCCACGGCGCGTATACTATAAGACTTCTCGGTGCGCGCGTCGCCCCTGGGGGGGCGACGCACACACAGTATTAGTATGTTGGGGCGACGCCGAAATTAGATGTTTTTTGTTGCACCGCTATGGGGGGGGGGGCTCAATCCCACAATGGGCCAGCGACAAGCCACATCCCCCAAAAGACGATGCGCGCACTGGTTCGCAGCAGGATACGCCTGTACGAACATCCCTCGCCGATGCATGTCGGATCAATGCCCGAGCATATCTCCGGATCGCCCCCGCTGGGGGGGCGAGGGCAGGGACAAATCCGGAGGAAGAGAAATCGGGAACCTCTGAGATCCGGCGGGTCTGGAGGATCGCGGCCGGTTGCAAAGCATTCCCGGCACTCTGGCTCGGGCACGATGTATCCCCATCCCAGGCCTACCTGACCTCCCCCCCCCGCTCTGCCTTCCTCGCCTTCCTCCCACGCCTCCCCTCAGGGGAGGGGAAGGGCGACAAGGAGGGGCATTCGTTCAGGGGCTTTTGCTTTTCGTGTCGCGGCGGCGGCCCCGTCGATACGTTCTGCCTTGCAAGCGGAGGGCGTGCCGCTCCGCTCCGCGGGGCGGGAGGCTGGGAAAAGCTCGCGACGTGGACGCTCGGGGTCTGGAACATGGATAGCGTGTCGCACCGAAGCGCGGTGGGCTAGAACCAGCGACACGACACGTTCAACCAAAGATCCTGACCGTAGGCAGGGGAATCGGAATTGGAATCCATCAACATCCGACAACACGCCATTTCCCTCGCAGAGCTCCCCGAGCGCCGAGATGAGCCAGAGCTGGCTGGCTGCGGCATCGAGGCGGCCCTCGTGCCGTCTCGATAGCGACGCACACTCAGCGACGGGGGAAACGAACGCAAATTGTTCCGAGCGAGCGGCATGAATCAAGTGTGCGAACAAGGTGCGCGAATAGAGTGTGAGAGTGGAGGGAGGCAGGAGCCTGCTCGATGCTCGTTCTTGATGACATTCCTGGAACCACCTGCTCCACTCATGCGTCGATGCTGCGTCGAGCGCTCGTCGACTTGAGCCGAAGCTCATTGGAGCTCGAGTCGAGCTAGAGTCGAACTAGAACTGAACTAGAGTCGAACAAATCCGTTAGATGGGCACCAGGGAGGTCCCCCCAAACGAACATCCGTGGGGGTTAGACAGAACCCCCTTTTGGCACACACCCCTCAGTGATGACGACCAGGGACCACACCTTGGCGGGCGCAGGACCGCACAAACATGCGGCCGCAGTGCCTCCTCGAGCGCCGCGACGGGGGCAACTCGCTGACCAGCTTGCCAGGGCGTGGGCTCTCTACCAACCTCCCCAGACACCCGACGTTTCGATTTTTTCGAAGTACCCCTGGCCCAAGGTGCCCCCAGCGTTTCGCACTAGTCTTGAGCCCCTGGGGCCCCCTGGGCCTCGTGAGGGGTGCCCTGGAGGCCGTCTGGGTCATCCCGAGAATCCTGGGGGTACCTTGGGCCAGGGGTACTTCTAGCAACACCCGAAGACCCCCGACCCCCCGACCTCCTCCCCCTCCTCCTCCCCCTCCTCCCCCTCCTCCTCCTCCTCCTCCACCTCCTCCTCCTCCTCCTCCTCCTCCTCCTCCTCCTCCTCCTCCTCCTCCTCCTCTTCCTCCTCCTCCTCCTCCTCCTCCTCCTCCGCCCCGAGTCGGTTTCTGACGGCCCCGAGGCCCGGCGCGGGAGGCCGAGAACCACGCAAAAAAACGCGCAAGACCCCCGCCCCGATGTCTGTCGAGACGCCCGATGGATGGCTGGGCCCGAACCCAAAGGGAGGAGCCCGGCTTCCCAGGGAGGCCCCGCCGGCCTTGGGCTTCGCCGCCGCCTTCGGCGCCGCCTCGGCCGGCTTCGGCGCCGGATCGGCCTTGGCGCCGCCGCCTCCTGCCGCCAGCGCGGCCTCTAGCTCCGAGGCCTCTCGCGGCCGCGCCCCCCCCGGGCTCCTGCTGTCGCCGCATCCTCCTCCGGTTGCTCCTTCTCCCCTCCCCCCCGCGGGGAACAAGGCACGCCTCGAAGGCAGGAATCTTTTGAGGGCCCCCAGGTCTGCCTGAGAGCAGGCTCCCCCGAAGCGAGGCTGGCCGCCGCCCCCCTGGGGAGTCGGAGGCCGAGGAGGCCTTCGATTCGGAAAGGGGGGCTCCCCGAAGGCATCGCCCTGGGCCGAATCCGCTCCACAACATTAGAAGGATCGCCAGCTCTCTGAGCCCCATCCAACGAAGCGTGTTTCCACGTCGCTCCCCGCGGGAGGCACGCCGGGTTTCTGACGCCCCCTCTGGAAGGGGGGAAGAACACTGCATCGCATCGCACTCACCTCCAGTGGTACCCAAGCAGAAAATCGGTTGCCCGATCCCGTGGACCAGGCTGAGGCGCCTGCAAGCGCCGCAACCTCGCAGGCCACTTCATCCCCACGCAACCTCCGCCTTTACTTACCCGAGATATGGACCCCGATATGAAAAAATCCCCACTGAAGGACCCTCAGTAAGTAATCCTTACTAAGGGGACCATAACAAATAATCCTTACGCAAGGAATCCTGAATACATAACCCGTATTGTTTAAAGGGCTCGTCGTAAAGGAACTCTAAAACAAATCCTTCCCAAAGAAGATTCAGTAAACAATTCCTCGCCAGGAACAGTTAGTACACAATATTTACCAGAGCTAAGAGATCCTTGATAAGGCATCCCTACCGAGAATAATCCTTAGTGGTGAACCCTGTAAGACACAATTCTTACTACTGGACCCGTCGTATATAATCCTTGCTCGGGGAACCCTGGGAGAAAAAACAACCTTCTCAAGGGAAACTTTAATCGGCAATCAGTAGTCTGGGAGGCTGACTACATAATCCTTACACAAGGGAGCCTGTGTAATTGATCCTTCCCCAGGCAATATGAATACATAATCCCTACTACGGAGTCCTTGGTGAATGATCCTTACTCAAACGACCTGAATAAAACATCTCTACGGGGAAGAATCCTTACCAAGGAATGTTTCACTATATAGTTCTTACTAAAGGAACTGCCGTCTAGAATCTTTACGCAGGAAATCTTGGGAAAAGAAACCTTATGCAGGGAAACCCTAATCAACAATCCATATCCAGAGAACCTGAACAAATCACCGTTATCAAGGGTACCTGGGTAGTTCATCCTTATTCAAATAATCTGAATACATAAATCCCACTCAAAAGTCCTTTGGGGAATCATCATTGCTCAAGGAACCTTGGTGGATAATCCTTACCACAACCCTTACTGAAGTAGACCTACTGGACATAATACTAACCAAGGAAATTTCAACATATACTCTATTATCAAAGGGGAAGAAACCTTATCCACGGAAACCATAATCAATAATCCATACTCAGGGAAACTGAACACATACCCCTTACAAGGAGAACCTGGGTAAGTAGTCCTTCCTGAGGCGATCTGAATACAGAAACCCTACTAAAGGAACCTTGGTCGATCATCTTTATCAGGGGAACCTTAGTGGAGAATCCTTGCGGAAGGAACCTTAATATAGAATTCGCACTAGAAAAGGAAGCTCACAACTAATCCCTTACGGACGAACCTTTGGTACACAATCCATACTGAGAGAACCTTTGGCGAATAATTTGTACTACAAGCAGCCCGGTAACATTGGTACGGTTTGCCTGGAGAGGACGCGTGACTCAATCAGCGCGCGACCGGGGCCCGAGCCTCAAGCAAGCGCAGGCGCGCGAGCGCGCCCAGGGGCGGCCAGGAGCTCCCACGGGCGAGTTCGGGGGAGGGGCTGCCGCGCGCAGGTGGGCGGGGGCCGTCGATTTTTTAGCTCAGTGGGGCTTCCGGCAGCGGCGACGGCGGCGGCGGCGGCGACGACGGCGACGACGCCGGCGACGGCGAGGTCAAGTGATCAGAACGCGCGGCGGCCAAAACGTCGGAACCCAGAGGAGCAGCTCATTGAAGTTCTAGAAGGAACCGCCTGAGGAAAGTTCTAGCAGGAGCAGTGCACTGAAGTTCTAGAAAGGACCGCCTGAAGGACGCTTGAAAAGAAGCATTCGAATGAGGTTCTAAAATGCGTCTCCCCCCCCCTGTCGCGCCAGCCCCATGCCTTGCGTAAGTCATCCTCGGAGCCTTTCGCTGCATTGAATTAAGATTATATAAGGGTGCAGTGGTCCGACAGGATCCGTCCAAGAGGCTTCCGATCCGCATGGGATCCGTAGCGGATCCGTACCCAGATCCGACGCCCGAGGCGAGGTTGACACTCCCGAACGGGGACCCTCGTCAACGTCTGCAGGGGCCCCTGCTATGCTTTTCGGGCGCCCGACGCTGCGCCCATCGCCCGCGACCTGTTGTCAAACCCCTTTCCCCAGGCTGGCGGACCGTAGAAAGTTTGTGCTTATGCCGTTCTTTATTCTTCGACACATGGAGGAAAGCAGTGCGTAATCGAGGCAAAACCTCGACTGCAGAGGTTTGGGAGCCTCTAATTCCGTTGCCCTCGTCGCCGTTGTCGCCACCCACCCCGCCGGTAAGAGCAGCCGCCTCGCGCAGCAGTGCCGGCTCGCCAGACAGCTTTTCCCGCTGGTCTGCGTCGAGGTCGCCGCCCTTCTCTTTCAGCTTGTCGATCTGGGCCAGCTTCTTCCGCACCGCTTTCAGCCTCACATCCAACTCCTACTCATTTGTTTCCTGCTGCTTTTGCCATTGTTCCTGTTCCTCTCGTGCTCTTGTTTCTGATGCTGCTGCTGATGCTGGTGCTGTTCCTCCTCCTTCTCCTCCACCTCCTCCTCCTCACCACCACCGCCACCACCACCACCACCACCACCACCACCATCATCATCATCATCATCATCATCATCATCATCATCATCATCATCATCATCATCATCATGATCATCATCATCATCATCATCAGCATCATCATCAGCATCATCATCATATCATCAGCATCAGCAGCATCAGCATCATGATCATGACCATCATCATCATCATCAGCATTATCATCATCATCAGCATTATCATCATCATCATCATCATCACCACCATCACCATCACCATCACCATCATCACCATCATCATCGTCACCACCACCACCACCACCACCATCATCATCATCATCATCATCATCATCATAATGACCATCATTACCATCATTATCAGTAGTATCAATATTTTCACTATTATTATCATTCGTATCATTTTCAGTATTATGTTCGATGTTATCATCACCATTACCTTCATCCTCACCATCACCATCATCATCAGCATCATCATCATCGCACTCGTCTTCATCATCGAAATCATATCCATCATTATCATCACCATCATCATCCTCATCACCATCACCATCACCATCGCTATCATCATCATCATCATCATCATCATCATCAGCATCATCATTCCCATCACCATCGTCACCACCATCACCATCACCATCACCATCACCATCATCATCATCATCATCATCATCATCATCATCATCATCATCATCACCGTCGTCATCATCATCAGCACCATCAGCATCATCATCACCATCAACAACAAAATCATCCTTCTCCTCCGCCTCCCACATCCGCCTCCTTCCTCTCCTGCCTCTCGGCCTGCTCATCCTTCCCATTGCCCTCCACGAGCTCGTGCCTCTTCGCGCTCCTCGCGCTGCTCGTCGGGCACTGCCTTCTCCCAGCAGTCCTCCTCCTCCTCCTCCTCCTCCTCCTCCTCTTTCTTCGCCTGCGCCCCCGACTGGAGACCGATGACCTCCGAGGCGGTCCAGACCGCTGTAGCGGTGGCTGCAGGGGTCCTTCACGGCCCTTTGGATGACCCCGAGGGCCCTGGGCCACCCCAGGTGGTGGGGGCGTGGAGCTGGGGGTTCTGGGGCGGGCCAATCGGTGGAGGCTCCCGCGGAGCCAATGGCTGAAGGCCCCGCGGTGCCTGGTCGAGCCGGCTGGGCCCTCCTCCCCAGCCTTGGCCTTCGGATGGCTGGGGCTTGGTCGTTAGCCTTCTGTGAGCGTTGTGCGTGTCTCGTGAGGATGCCTGGGCGGGCGGCCCTCGAGGCGCCTTGTAAGGGCCCCTTGGATGTCCCCAGTGTATCCTCAGTGCTCGAAAGGCCTGCCTCAAGACGTTGAGGCGCTGCGAGCCGCCTGGTTAGGCGGCTGAGGGTCCTGGGTCCTGGCTGTTCTCGGCCGGGGGGCCCCGAAGTTTTGACTTGGACGCGTTGCCCTCCTCCCCTCCTTCCCTCCCTCCCATTTCCTCCTCCTCCTCCTCTTTCCTTTCTCTTCCTTCCCCCCTTCGCCTTCATCCCTCCTCCCCCGTCCCCACCCCTCATCATCCGACAACGGCGGCGACGGTGACGGCGACACCGGCGACGACGCGCCATGCCTCTTCTCGGCATCCCCGGCGTCTGCGGCGGCCATAGCCCCCCCCCTCGGCGCGCGGCCGCAGGCGGGAGGCAACCCACCCGCTCTCAAGAAACGCGCCGCGACCTGGAGCCCGGAGCGCAATGTACGTGGTGCAGTACAGGACGTGTAATCGAGGTGGTGCAATCTACGTGGTGCAAATATGTGGTGCAATGCAAATGGTGAAAATCAACGTGGTGCAATTTCAGTGGGGCAATCTACGTGGTGCACTCGACGTGGTGCAATATATGCGCAGCAACAAATGTGGTGCAATCTACGTTGCGCAATCTAAGGTGCGATCTATGTGGTGCAATCTATGCGGTGCGATTGAGTTTAACAAATGAACTGGCCACTGCCACGCCCTTGCAAACATCCCACCCACCCGCCCACAACTTGGTTTGCAAAACCGTGCGGCGTCGATTGCGATGAGTGCTTGGCGTTGGCTGGTGCATCTCTGCGGCCGCGCTAATTCGCCCGCGCATGCTCGCGAACACAACGGCCAGCTAGTTTGGCGCGACCGACGCAACCGCGGTGGCGCTGACCGCTGGGCACTTCCCAGCGGGCATTTCAGTGCGAGTCGGTGATTTGGGCGGGGGCGGTATCATGGCGACGCCGACAACGGTAGACACGATTATGAGAATAGCGATGGTGGTGACGATGGTGGCGATGACGACGGCAAGGCCAATGACGGCGCCGATGTTGATCACGCCCGCCGATAATGATGCAGGTTCTTGGAGGAGTTCGACAAATGCGCGCGGCCGACGCGCGCGAGTGGCCAGCGTAATACTATTCGACACGGATCGTGCCCCCCAAAGCACGCGTGCAAGGGCCCTCGAATGAGTTCGACATGCGGCGCGAAAGGCCCGTTTGGCAGAATTTGATGAACATGTGGGGACAGCCATGGTTTTCTTAAGAATCCGCATGGCCGCGAGCGCAGGCTCTGGTTTGAAAACTGACGTTGCAAAGCCATGCGTTTTGATATATTATCGGTGCACTCGCTTTGAAGCCCTTGTGAAACCTGGGTCCTCTGTATCTGAAAAGTGATCTTGGCATGCGCGCGTGACGACGCGCGCATGTGCACTTCGTCCTATTTGCTGCAAGGGATTCTTGCGACAGCACGCGCGCAAGGGCGTTCGAACGATTTCGAAATACGCGCGCGAAACGCTAGTTTGGTAGCACTATGTGAATGTTGAAAACCAATGGTTTTCTTCAGAATTCGCCAGAGCGCGAGCGCAGGAAAGTTTTGAAAACTGATGTTGCAAACCCGCGTGTCTTTATATATGTTTGGGGCAATCGTTTTGAAATCCCCACGAAGCCAGAGATGTTTGAAATATTCTGGTATGCGCGCGCGACGATGCGCTCGTGTGCATGTCGTCCCGTTTTTTTGCAAGGGACTCTTGAACAATGATGACTTTTGATCAACGAGTGCGCGCGTCTAGTGTTGGGAAGGCCTAGTGGCCGACGCCGCCGACCCTGAAGGGGGATGGCAACGACGACGGCGGCGGCGGCGGCACCGGCGATGACGACGACGCTGACGCTCTGGAGTGTTTCTTGGGGCTTCCTTGGGAGCCTCTTGGGCTCTGTTGGGGCTTGGGCCGGGGCCACGGCTGAGGCCATGGCCAGGGCTGGAGCTGGGGCCGAGGCTGAGGCCGCGGCCGGGGCTGGGGCCGGGGGCCTGGGGCCGGGGGCCGGGGCTGAACGACTGCGCGCGCGTAGCATTCTCTGCAGAGGATGGGTGCGGGGGCGATGCCGGCCTGCCTGGGATGGCGCGAGTTTGCGAGGGACGACGGGGCAGAATTCTGTGTAAACTGCAATGCGAAAAGGTGGCCGGTTCATCCGGGAGGGGGGGGGGTAGATCCGAATTCCCTGCAGAACGCTCAAAATAACAGATGCGGATAGATGCGATCGCGCCCTGGTAGGCGAGGGGCCGATCGTATCTAATTTATCTGCAACGACGGAAACCTGTATTTTAGATGCGCGCCCCTGGCCTGCACGAAAGCGCCACCGTATCTAAACGTATCGACTTTTCAAGCATATCCAAAAATTAGGGACCGTATCTTTTTACCTTCAAAAACAAATCTACCCGTATCTACTCTTCAAATAATGGCACTACCGCGCCGTATGTATTCGTATCTAATTATGTAAGAACGGATGCTGTTGGCTGTGCTCTCGGAGCGAACAGGATCTACGATACTGCTCGAAGCAATACGCAAAGGGATGGGGATAATGGGAAGCCGTAGCGATGAGGAATGAAGAGACGAGCGGCAACGACAAAGACGACGAGGAGTAGGATGTATAAAATCGATGAAACGAGATTCAGGAGAGAACTGGGAATGAAGAGGGAACCCTGGGAAGGGGAGAGCAAAGAGGAAGGTCAAATCGAAAGTGAAGGGGGTGGTACGGGCAAGGGGAAGAGAAGAGAAGAGAAGATGAGAACCGAGGAGGGCGGGTGATGAGGATCCAAGAAGAGTGAGGAGCGAGAGTGGTCAATCGCGGGCGTGCGCAGAGGACTCGAGGGACGATCACGATGGCGGTAACGGGGGTGACGAGAAGGAGCATGAGGGTGACCATGGCGGGAATTTCGAGGAGGTGTACGAAATTGAAGAGTAAAACACGGGACTCCTGAGGGCGCAATTGGGAGGAATACGGGGGAGTAGGAGGAGGAGGAGGAGGAGGAGGAGGAGGAGGAGGAGGAGGAGGAGGAGGAGGAGGAGAAGAAATATGAGGACGAGTCAGAGGCGTGAGGGGGGATCTTAATTTCGATGAGGGTGCACAAGGGTCATGATGTGGAGGCATGGGGAGGAATGATTTGGACGATGAGCGCGGGCGAGGAGAGAGATGAGGGCGCGCGGCGAGGAGGCAAGAGAAGCGAGGTGGATGGAGTAGGAGGGAGCGTCAGGAGGATAACGTGGAGGAGGGGGAGTCCGGAAGGGGATGAAAGAGAACAATGATTGAAGAGAATGGTTCCTCTGCTTCGTCCTCCTCGTCGCCGTGATCATTCGGATCCACCGTCCCTATCCCGTCGGTTCGTCATGATTTCCTCCTCCTCCTCCTCCTCATCGTTGTCGTCCTGACTGGCATGTGTATTGTCTTCCCTGTTCGTGGTCATTGAGCGGCCTCGGCATTCCAGTGATATGGCGCCTTATCTATTCGTATCTATGCTTGGTACACATGTTTTCCACTGATGGGCGCCATATCGGGCTGCATCTGAACATGTCTGAACTTATCTTTTCATATCTAAACTTACCCCGTATCTACAACTAGTAATAAAACATATCCCCCGTATCTAAAAAGTATTCATTCTTATGTAAACGTACCTGTGCTTGAAATGTTGACATATGTATGTGCATATATATACAAGACTTGAAGCTCGCTGCGCTTCGCTTGGAGGTCTTGGCGCGATGCGCCGGCGCGCAGTGTGCGAGCGAAGTGCGACTATGCGGGCTGAAGCGTCGGCGATGGGCAGGGACGGGGATGGGAAGGTCACGGGCGCATGGGCGTCGGCCCGTGGAGTGCGCGCGCGCCGTGCGCGCGCGCGCCGGGTTGGCAAGGGGCGACGCACGCGACGGTCATCGGCGATAAGATTAGGCGGGGATCAACGCCGAGGGCAGGGGAAGGGACAGAGAGGCTTCGGATGAGGTGAATACAACGAAAAGGGTGCTGGCAATGATGGTGGCCTCATACCTATGCAGATTTGGGTTGGGAAGGTCACGGACGGCGACGCCGCGCAGTTTGGTGATGATGTTTTTTTCTCACTGAGTGTAGGGGCGATCCTGACGTGGTGCTCTGCAAAATCGGAGCGGCGACGAACGCCCCCGAACCTGCTTGAAAAAATCGGCGTCTAGCTCAGCGTCCCAGACTTCCCGAGAGGAAGCGTTCCCGCGCCCGGTGCGCAAATCTGCATGGCTCGGTGGGCGGACCCTGCAGGGCACTTTACTTCTTCGACATCCTCGCTGGCTTCTTGGTCATTGGGGCTGTCGGCGTCGCCGCTGCAGGGCGCTTGCGGGGCCCGCTGGGCTCTGCTGTGGGCGAAGGGAGCGCTGACGGCACGGTGTCCTGCGTGGGCGTGTTCGGCGCGCACGAGGCCCACGTGATGATCTGAGGGTACTTTTTGTGGAGGTTGCGCAGCGGGGTGAGCAACTTGTCCGGGACGTTACTCGCAACCAAGAAGCAGAAGTTGAGAAGCTCCTTGACTGTCTTGTCGGTGCCGTCCATCATCTTGAACTGCCTGGCGAGGCTGAGGCGGTTGTTGGTTTTGGCTGAAGTGATCTTGAAGCTCGAGTGCTTCTCATTCGCAGGGACTTCAAAGTCGGCCTCGAAGTAGCTGTGCGTGAGAGTGTCCGCGGTGAACTGGATGACGTGCTTGTGGGCGGCGGCGGCGGTGCGCGGGTTCAGTCCGAAAGCCACGCGCACGTGCGCCCAGCGCGGATTGGGGTCCCCCTGGCTGAACGCTCGTGCGAAACCGCACTGGGCGGTCTGAACTCCAAGAGGTGCTGGTGAGAGGTCGTGGACGGCGACGGCGTCTTTCCACAACGTGGTGAGTCCATGTGTCTTGCGCTCGGCCCGGAAACGGAGGCTCGCGCCGTCTGCGATGGTGACGCGGATGCCGTTGGACTTGTGTTTGTTGATGTCCAAGAGCTCCACGTGGACGTGCTCAGTGTAGAGGGACACATACTCGCGGTTACCTGGCGCTTGCGCACCTGCAGCGGGCGATGCTGCTGGGGTCGGGGCGTGTAGTCGTACGTCGCGCTGGACGTCTTGGGAGCCATCGTACGAGGCGCGGCCGATGGCTGTTCAACGGGTGCGGCGGCGACGTCGGGCGTACCCAGGACGCAGAGGACGCTTAAGCCAGATGCCGATCGATCAATGCAGAATTGACATGCGGTGTAACACGAGCGGGGAAGGGCGCCCAGGACATGGGGATATGTGAAACTGGCCAGGGCATCTCTCGTTCGCCATCTGAGGCGAGAGTGGCTGGGCATTGAAGTTCAGATCTCTCTCAGGTCCAAATTGCGATTGCATCTCAGCTGGCAGGAGTAATCAAGTGAGACTGGCCAGGCCACCT